AGGGTCCCACAGAAGCATGGGGGGGAGGGCCCAGCATGCTCAGCAGCAGACCTGGAAATGGACCAGAAGCACTTCTAGGTCCAGTGGGGAGCATGCTGGGGGGCCTCCCGTGCACCCCCAGCTTGGCGACTGGTTCCTCCTGGGTCTGGGTGGGGAGGGGTAATGAACAAAATTTGAAACCTGTCGGTGCAGGCAAGCGAAGAGAAAAGGGTGCTGTTCTTGGCCAGTAGGCAGTCTGCCCTGGGGCATTGAACTGAAATGTTTTACAAGTGGCTTTGGTTTGAAGGCTGCAAACTAAGTATAGTTTCCATATGAGCTAACAGAAGGAAAGATGATGTACATCTGTTCCTCCACTCAGCCAACTGCTACTTTATAACTTCCAAATGCTTAGCATGCCAAAAGTTTGGTGTATTCTGGAGAGCCTAAAGGGGTGGAGTTTATATCCATCCCAAGGTACCTGTGCACATCTTCAAAGCAGCTGGTGCCCAGAGATAGAAACCTGCCTTAGAGTCCTCATTCTGCCCTAGCTACTGAATAAGGAGCTCATGAGTTCCTGCAGAAAGAGGCAGGGTGATTTGATGAAGCTGAACTTAATACATGTGCCCATTTAAAAATAAAACAAGCCTGTGGAGGTGATTGTTTCTGGACAGCCCACTAAATATCTCAGAACCAGGGCAAGAATCCAAGGACTCATTTGCAGTTGCCCCCCCTCAGTGATCCCCCTTGCCATTCCCGACAAGTTTTGATACAGGCGTCGTGCACAGCTCCCCCCAGCCACATGATGTAAATGCTTCTGCCTTTTAAAGAGAACAGATATTGACAGCTAGGTACCAGCCCTCCTAATACCATCCCCGTGAGCTCCAATGCAGTGAGGGAGGTTTGAGACTATAAAGCTGTTTGGGTTAATTACTTCCTAATGCAAAAGGTGAGCAACTTATTGCCTACTGTACAGTCAATACTATACAAGTTTGTTGGTTTTGGTTTGGGGGTTTTTTTTGTATACTGTTGTAGCTTCTTAGGTCATGTTGTGTTTGTTCTTTGTGTAGAATGAATAAAGCATTAGGGACTGGAATGAAAAACACACAGTGGTTCCTTCCCAGCTTTCCTTGTAGCTGGGCTGGAAGCTGCCAGTGGAACAGCTTCTCTTGTTTGAAAGCATAAGACAATAAAATCTTTTCCCCTTCATCCCGGGAAGGGCAAGCTTCGTGTTGCCAGGCGTGGCCCCAGCTAGTTGGAGGAAGGGGAGTGGAGGTGGCTTGAACCAGAGGGTGCAGCCAGGCTCCGTGAGAGACGCGGGAGGGCAGAGTGCTCAGAGCTGGGCCAAAAAGAAAGGAGCGGGTTGAAGTGCGCGTCTCTGCTCTGGGTCTCGCCTGCGGGGCTCCAGCGGGGGAGTGGGGCGCGCCCCAGGGGCTGCTTCCCGCGCCTCAGAGCAGCCGGCCCGGTTTCCACAACTGCAGGGCGGTGACACTCCGGGGGCTCCTTGCCAGTGCCGGCAGCCGGAGGGCAAAGCGGGGTGCCCGGGGCGGACGCCTAGCTCCTGCCCTCGGGCACTGCCAGGCCGCGGTCCCGGGCCGCTGGAATCGCCGCAGCCGCCGGCGCCCCGCGGGCTCCTTACAGGAGGAGAGTGGGCCAAGGTTACTGCCCCTTTAAGAAGGGGGCGGGGCAGGGAGAGGCGCTGCGACGTCGGCGCGGGCGCCAATGGGAGGCCGCGGGGAGCCGCAGTCATGGAGCCGGGACAGGAGCCGGAGCCGTTGGACG